TTAAAAGAGGTTAGTAAAGCTGGCTAAGATAAAATAAAGATATAAAAGTCGAAAAACCTAGACTTAATTTCAACACTAGACGTCGTATCAATATTGTCATGTTTGCCTCTCTTCGCAAACATAAAGATAATGATAAATTTTTAGAAAAATCGTCACGGGTGATGTATAATAGATTGTCTACAGATCATAGAGACCACAAAGTGGAAAAGATAAGACAAGATAAAATAAGAAAAGATAAAAGATGAGATTTATCAAAACAAGGAGATACTTTCTATTTAGTGAGATTAAATTTTTGTCAGCTTCTACTGACAATAACAACATAAATTCTGAAAAACTGAAAATAAACTGGAAAAATTTAATTATGCTCAAACGCTCAGACCTCCAATAATCGTCATAGCACGCTTTAACAGTTTGTTTGGAATTATTTCCCCACACACCATATTCTTAAGATCTAGTGCGTGTGATTGGCCCATATTAATTCGCTATAAAATTAGATTTAGAAAAAATTAGATCTAGATTTAGATAACCTTCACTTCAAATGGAAACGTCAAAATGATTTGAATTATTTTTTTACCAGGAGCTTTATGAATAAAGAGTTATGCTATTAAAAAGAATGGGTAATATATTATATTTTAATATAAAAAACAAACAAAATTAATTTCCGTATACCTTCTCGGTTAAAAGTTCAGAAAATATTGTGTATACATATATTATGGAACTTTTGGTGTTGGAGACTAAGTTGGTTCCATGAGTTTCTTTATTCGAAAATTTTGTAATTTAAATGACACAAAACTAACGTTCAGTAACTAGTGTTTTGGAATAAAATTTAAATTTTTAATATTATTGTTTGGCGTCTTTCTTTGCTATAGAATTACATTGATTAATTTCAGTTCTGAAGAAAGAACAGTATCTATACAATAACTTTCTACTAAATTATAGATACTAATATAATAGATAGATAATAGATACAAAAATTGATTGTGAATTGTCATGATCCAATAATGCTGATCAGCAATTACACATTTTAAGACTTAAATGTCAAAGGAAATGTATATTACTATTTCATTGTTGTATTGTAATACAAGTTTAATTATTGCTACAAGACTTTTAATAACATATTAGTCTTATCCTGGATTCACACGAGAGTTTTGTTTCTAATTTTAACTATCATTTGTGTAATTTTAATTAAGTATATTAAGTATTAAGTACATGTCTTATAAGTTATCTTTTCATTTTAAAGAAATTACCAGTATCGTGTCTCCCACTTCCCAAAAATGGAGTGAAACTATCTTTAAATACTGTATAAAGTTTATATTACAATTGTTGTATTAGATTTTATTCACTGCCTGTATAGTCTTTCTTTAAGTCTTTATTTATAGATCTATATAAGTTAATTTTCTCTTCGAAGATGTGTTTAGTAAGTTAAAGTCTCTAAAGTGATTTTCGATATTTTTATCGAAATAACCGTGATGATCTTTGAATGAAAAATGAAAAAAAAACTAAAAATCATAGGAATTAATCACTTGTTTCTTTCAAAATCTATTGTATTAATTACTATTAATTATTACAGCTAGAGCCATATTTTATGTGAACAGTGAATTTTATTTCATTTAACAGAAAAAACTGTTTTATTTACCCATTTGAGAAACAAAAATTGCTTTCTTTACACAGAAGCTCTTGGTTTTTAACAAAAAAATTATTATATTTAATATCATTTAATGTACTTACTTTGTAAAATGTAATAATGATTTATTATATATTTATATCAAATAGTTGAGCTATTTTGAGTAAACTGAATCAATTACAAGCAAAGATGCTTGCGAGGAAGGTTTAAATTGAACTATCCCCCCAGATCTATGAACTAAAAAGTACCTATACTTATATATGAGGGACACGGTCCGTGAATTATTTAACCATATTTTGCAAAAACCAAAGAATGTTCAAAATATTTTTTGGATCCTCTTATTATACTCTTAGCATACGCAGGAAAGACAATATTGACGAATAAATATTCTTTTACCACATGTAGAGATTTTTATGGTGCGATAAAATCTGTGAATCGCCACAACTACTTGGGGCATATAAACTAATTGTTGAGAATCACCGAAAGAGATTTTTGGGGAACATGTCAATTTGGCATTCGAATACAACAAAAATTTCCAGTAAAGAATGCAGTAGATTGGATTGCTAATAGGTAAAACCTTTTGTTCCATGGAAAAACAGGTATATTATAAAGAATTAACATTTTTACAGATGTCAAACCATGTAAGATTTGGTCTAGTTAACAAAATATTAAAAATATCAGTAACAACTATGACAAATGAGCACTCTTCGGAGCTTAAAAAATGATTTGAAGTATAAAAAGAAGCCAATAGATTTACACTTTTTAATACCCACAAAGAAATTTTTATGACCCGAAAGGAAATCACAGCAGAGTTCACGAAACAACCGTGGCAATTACTGTTCTAAAACATTAAACTTTATAATAATGTATACTTGAGAAATAAGAGAGTTGCTTGCATTTTATACTAAAAGCTAGGACTGCAGAATTTAATGAAAAAAATTGCTTTGCAGATTCTAAATAATTCTTTCGATCACTTCTAAGCTATGGCCATACTGAGAAATAAGATATTTATAACTTTTAGCTTAGTGTTAAACCATATAATTCAACTATATAATATAAACTATGTATTTATAACTTTATCATTTTAAAGGTAGATATAAAAAATTTTATACTATCTTATGTGCTATATTAAAATCATCGATAAAATGATAACAGATATAAATTCTTCACTGATTTTTAATGTTTTTAATAAAATTAGTAACATCATGACTATTATAACAGGGTATACCGATGGTGATGAAAATGAAGAGGTTAAAGAATTTATGAACGAATTTGGATCATATATTGATATTTTATTTTTAACTGTAATTATAGTGAAACAGAAGAACAAAAATCAAATATACAATTATGATCTTCAATTAAAAATTTGCCGTATATCTTTCAAAATTATAAAATAAAATTCGTAAATGGTTTGAATTACTAGTGAATATTATTAATATAAAAAATGTCTTTGAATTGAGTAATAGTACCTTCACACCATCAGAAAATATTTAGTTTTTACTCTTATTTTTCATATAAAATTCATACAATTTCCATAGAAAATCGTTGTTAGAATGTGCTAATGAAGTTAGATAATTGCAAGTGTAAACACAGCTTAATATTATCAATTCCTCATTTACTCTATTAAGTATCATTGCAAAAAATTTAATCAATGTACGTAGCTACGTATAGATGGGATATGATATATATATTGATATCTTATTTTTAATCACTTAAAACTTAAATATTTTCAATTAAATATTATATTCAAAATCTTAACTTCCACAAAACTAAACTACTATTTTTATCCACTCAAGGGGAAAAAATTGTAAAATAGCCGGTTTATTATTATAGTTAATATATGTAAACTGTTGTCATCAAATTAGCACAATTCAGTATTTTATAGTAAGTTTATTCCATGAATGAAAAATAATCGCTTTTTCACAATTTTAATTTACATATCATTTTGAATTTTTTTAAACGTGAAACGTGAACAGTGAACCTCATTCAGTTACCCCCGCCGAGCTGAGCAAATCCCACATGTGCGAAAATCGGAAGTGCAACAATAAATGTGACAAGGGAAAATAAAAAACGCAAAACGCAAAACATAGTAAAGGCAAAAAATGAGCGAGTTTTGACGTTTTGGAATGTTAAGTTTCATTCTTAAATATGTGAACAATCAAGGCTGTGATTTCTTAGGAACTCTTTTAATGAAAACAAAACATTCCCACCTTCAACCAAACATACGCACCGCCACAAAACTCACCACACACACGATGTGAGAGCGCAACCGAAGTGAGCACAAAGCGGGCTAAAGCGGATGTGGCAACGAAAGAGAAACACACCCTGTGGGTGGCCAACTCACATGCCAAACGACGTACGTACGGGGTTGTTTCTATATTTTCGAATGAGTTCAGTTCTGTTGGTCTTTTAGTGTCAGAAAGCACCACAAACTCAGTAAGCAACATATTGCGGTCCACACAGTCAAATATATATATATATATACTTTAAATAAATATTTGAATATTATTTATTTATTTACATTCGCATTTTACTCTATGCATAAAAATATTGCTGAATTGAACTTTGAACTTGCTCGGGTTAAACTGTCAGCAGTTCTAACTTAGCTGACGAAGAAGACTGGCCAGAGTCATTAAATGTCACATTAGTGAAGAGTTAAGAGGCAGAACTGAATGGACGAACCACACATAATTGCCTATGCATAGCTAAAATGGAAATTCTGATTCGATTTGAAAGACAAACTCATTTCATTTTGATTAAAGTCAATTTGATTAAACTTCCTTCGTTCGTATCATTTAACGATACCTTGACGCAGCTGTTTCGGTATTTGATATTTTATTTCCTACGTGCCTTCAGCGGAACTGGTGTCGTTTTTTAACACCAACGCACATAGGCACATAAATCGCAGGCATTGCCTTTCAATTAAATTGAATGCGTTCGTTCCCTACATTTTAATTCATTCACTTCACTTAAAAGCCACAACTGCAGTGCACACTTTCACGGAACACGAAATGTGGAATACGGACTACGGACTACGGAATAATGTTTCCCATTCGCATGACTCGCGCATATCCGCCGCCATGTTCAATTCATGGCTGTGCTATCATTGTGCGTTATATGTGCACGTTTGTGTACAGGGACGGCATAAACACACAAGTTTATGTGTGTATATGTATGTGTGTATGTATGTATATGTAATGTTGTCTGTGTTGGTCCGTTTTTAGTGTTGAAAGTTGTGAGCTGTGCTATGTGCTTTGTGCTATGCTATGCTGTGTTGTGCTGTGCTGTGTTCGTTTCTTTCGTTTCGTTCGTGTCTTTCTTCAACATTGAGGTTTGGTTGAAAATCGATATGTAATTTATATATATGTACTCGCACCTATTCTGTAGTCAAAATTGCCTTGGAGAAAACATTTTTTCCTTCCTGCTTAATTATTGCTAAAAGATCCACAAAACACAAAACACAAAACACAATTTCACTTCACTTCCAATAAAATTTTCACAGATTTCTGTGTACTTCGCGTCTCAATTTATTTTCCATGCACTTCTAATTGATTCCGAATGCAGACATATTTCACTTTTCCGCAACAGAACTTATAACATTTTCACTTCATTTTCACACTTCCGCATTGCAATTTTCTTTTCGCTTTTACGCAACGAAATCACTAATTGCCATTCTTCAATTTTTCTTTAACGATTCGAAACGATTTTTCAATATTTTCACGTTTTTCTGACTCAAATCGAAAGAAAACTAATTTTCTTTTTTTTTGATAATTTTCTCAGTGAGCCACCGTTCCGACCGTGTTTCGGTTGCGTCCGAGCCAAGTGCAATATTCGACAAATGTGGTAGAACTAAAATTGAAAATTGCCTCTGTGTAGCTGCTAAAGGACTTTAGCTTTGACATTACAAGCTCAGTGGAGGGTTTTTGTTTTACGTCAAAATCGCTTAAGTGTATTGGTGTAGTGGCACTCTCAGAACATTACGCGTTCTTCGTCCCCTTTGCACCCCACTCTTAGCCAACTTTTAAATGCACATATGATTTCGTGGAAGTGTGGTGAGTTTCCTTAAGCGGGTTTTTTAATTACTGAAATTTTTTAAAATTTGGGAGAAAAAAATTGCTTTTAAAGAATAAGAAAATATATTGAAAAATTTTATATATATAATTATAATTAATTAAAAAAATTAAATCAAACAAAAATAATTTATAAAATACTTTAACATTTATTTTCTTAATGCCACTAAAGTCATTTAATTCAAAACTGCAGGCTTTAAGTTTATAAACTTTTTGCAGTGTAAACATGCGCAGTACAATAAACTGCTCAAATACCGGGTGTCTAAACAAAACTACAGAAATTTATTTCAAATTAAATAAAATATTAGGTTGTCTACACAGCTATTTCGAATATTACTAAATTTTAATAATCAGTAGTATTTCACACGATCTACTAACCAAATATACGTTGGTTTTCTACGGTAACATGTAATGTTACCTACGGTAATGGTTCTACAATAATTTTAATAGGTTCACTATTTGTCGATTGTAGTCCAAAAATTAAACTCGGTCTAATAAACCTTCAAAGATTTACAAAAAAGATTTATGATTTATGAAACTGCTGTTTAAAAATTTGTTTAATCAAAAATATAAATTTATTTAATTAAAAATAAAAATTAAATTAATAAAACATAAAAATTTTAAATAAGTTTTTATTTCATTTTTATTTTTAAAAATAAAAATTAATTTAATTAAAATTATATGTAGAAATAATTTCTTCACTATAAAATCTTTTTACTAATATTGAAAAATTTATCATTGCGAAATTAAAATATTTAGATCTATTTATAATACAATGTAGAAATTTATTAATTAAAAATTATTAATTAAATATAAATAATAATAATAAAAAATTAATTATCATATATAAAGTGTTATATAACCACAATTCGGGCTCTATGATATAGGAGGTATAAGCTGCCTACATCTATTTCCATATTTAGATACTCATATTTACTTTATTTGTCCAAATTGTGCTCGAAATGTTGTCTATCTATTGTAGGTTTTGGTCATCCTTATTTTCTTTAACACCTTTATTTTCTTTGACACCCATCGAAATATTTCGGTGATGTTTTCAGAGTCCGAGTTTTTGGACTCTGAAAATTATCATTCAGATTTATTAGAACTGTAATAATTTTCTAGTAATATTCATAATAAATATATGATGAAATATATGATTTAAAATATATTTTCAAAGATTATACACAGACATTTTTTTTTCATTTTTAATGTTATAAGTTAGATTGCACTTCTTTGATTTTTGTTTTTATTTTTTTTTTTTTTTTAAATTAGAGTTTTTAGTGCAGTTACCTAGCATTTTGGGGGTTTTTTTGTTAAAATAATATTACATATTCTGCATTCGATTCGCCACCTATCTAAGTTGGATTGAAGAAGAATTTTACATAAAAATGTAACACCTATATCAACTTTACAAATTGCTAAGACTAGATATTATATCGGCCAAATTCGATTTCTAAGTTTTATTGTTTAATTCTAATTAAATATAACTTTTTATGTTTGCTTAAGAACCTAAACTGATGCACTTTGTTTTATTATAAATACAAATTGGTTGACTACCAATCAAAATAAAAATGTTATATAAAACTTAAATACGAAAATTTTAAATAATAACTATAATGATAATGTCGTAATAATCCACAACAAAAATTGTAGTTTTTTATTTGTTCATATTGTATTTTAATAATGGAGCCTTTTTAATAATATTTTACAATAAAAGTCATAAACTGAAGCCAATGAAGTTTACAATGAATATCAAACTGTTTTGAGGGATTCGCCTAAAAGTAGGCAGATCATTTTTTTGAAATTTATTCACCGTATTTTTCAAATATATAAAAAAAATATAATATAAAGTTCAAGATTGCACTAACAAAGCTATATAAATAAACTCTTGGGCCGTGTGTGAGTTCGAGTAAATTGATGGTAAATTTAGGAAAATAGGTAATTATGTCGGTATGGCAGCAAATGTTGGTATTTACCAGAATTTCGAGTAGGGTAAATTAGATAAAAATTAGGTGAATTAGGTGTTACCATTGTAAAAATTTTTAAGATGTTTATTAAATAAACTTGAAAACTTTTAACCAAAAATAAAAAATAAGTGCAATAATTAAATAAATAAATATTTACTTAAGAGCAGTGTGAAAAATCCCTAGAAAATTTCAATTTACTTTACCTCAATTAAAACGAACTCGCACACATTCCTTAATCGTTTAAAAATAAAAATTCTTTACTAAATTTAAAATTCTAAATTTTTAATTTTTTTGATTTTTTAACTGAATTAATTGAATATTTATAATTTATATTTTGAAAGAACCTGTCATATAGAAGCTGTCAACAATTTAATATTAAAACTATTCACTTTTACTGCTTATTTTATGTATTTATTTTAATCTTATAATTATTATAGTATGACATCATAATAAAAAATAACTTTGCATATTAATTATATTAATTTATTTCATATTAAGATTTTGTAGTGTACAAAAATTCGTTAACATATTGTTACTAATTTTTGTTTATTATGACATGTTTTTCATTTTTAAAAACTAGATTTAGAACTTAGAATGAATATTCGTCTCTGTTTCTACCAGCAAAACGTAGCTGATTAAAGGATTTGACACTGTTCGGTTGACACTGTTCTCCGCCAAACGGATCTCGGACGAGCTCGTTTCCTTACTTCATGCGGATTCCATTCCATAACTGTGTGCGCAATTGCTTCTGTCGGCTTTTACAGTGTGTGGCCGAGCCATTTATATTTCCATTTCTGAATTTCCTTCTCTATTGACTTTTGTTTGGCGAGCCAGCATATTTCTTCATTGGAGACTCTTGCAGTCCGCCATATGTTCAAAATACGTTGTAAGCTCCTATTAATGAAGGTTTGTAACTTCTGAGCTGACGCCCTCGTTAGCGACCATGTTTCGTATCCATATAATGTCAATTTTACGCAGACGTGGAATATTCTGATTTTATTTTCGACGCTCACATAGTTGACTTTCAAGACTTTATTAAGTGATGCGAAAGAGCCTTTTACCTTTTCCACTCCACTGTCGACTGCTTCCCAGATATTCGAGTTCCTGCATATCTTCAATGTTATGGTCGTTCAAAGGAATGGTCGATTGATTGCTTGCTTTCACCCTCTTTGTTTTTGTCCTTGAGACGTTGATTTTTAGGCCGACTTTAACTGACTGTTCGCATACGTTACTAACGAGAGTTTGCATATCGGTGTGTCTGTTTGCTTACAATACTATATCGTCAGCATACTCAAGATGACCAAGCTTTTGGTTTAGTCTCCAGCCAATTCCGATTGGGCTTTTTTCCACTACTTCGAGAACGACATTTAATACTGTGATAAACACTAATGGTGAGAGGGCACTATTGCAATAAAATTACCATAATTTTAATAAAATAAAATTTATTTAAAATTAATTAAATTAGTTAATGCCTTGATTAAGCAATGTAATGAGAGTATCGAATATCAAGTTTCAACTTGGCCTAAAATAAATTAAGATACTTTTTTATTATTAAGTTTCTTTAACACTCAATTTATTCGATAAAGGATTAATTAAAAAATTGTTTGTACATTTAACTTTACTTTATTTTTCATATGCATTTTGGCTCACTAAATTTAAAAATCATATTAATAATTTTTTATAGTTAGACTTTCAAGATATAAGGCTTTAAAATTTTTGTTTGGTTTTTGGTTTTTTTTTGAACGTAGCTTTATATGTTGCCCCATATCTGGAGTTAAAAGCGTCCAATTGAGTCTATCAGGATATTAAATGAAAGATAATGTAATCTTCAATAGTCACTCTCTTCATATATTGTTTTCCAATGGATTTCGCATATTATAGACACTTTAAACAATGTAGAACCGCAATTATATAAAATGTATCATTAACGATAAATAAATATAATATAATAAATTACTATTACTAAGTAATAAATAAAAATTAAAATTATGTGCATTTTATTCTTTGCATTTAAATTTTTTTTTAAATTACGTATTGTGAAATTCATAGATGATGTCTGATGAAAGCAGTTTGTAGTAAATTAAGTTTATAATTTTTGGTATATAAAACGTGATCATGAATGAATGAGTATTTTGCGTATTTATTTGTACACGAACTAAAATTTATAAACAATTTATTTAATTGTTACTGAAATGTATCCAATTTCCCAACAAAAAAATTTATTATTTATTCCATTTCCTTTCTTTGATTGCATTGCGTGGGAAATGCTCGATCGAGTCGTAATTTTCAAACAGAAAAACTAAAACGAAAATTATTTTCATTCATTTATTTTTTAATTTTATTTTTATTTTATTTTATTATTTTATTCCCATTTTATTTCCAATTTATTGGAAACATTTGTTAAAAAAGATTAGAATTCAGTTCCGAAGAATCGGAAATAATCTCTATTCATAAACATTTTAAAGAATGTGTAGGGTTTTAGGGGTTTAAAAAACCTATTAAGTTCGGGTGCACAAATGTCAAAAGCGGCGTAAACTAATAGAGCTTCTTTGCGGAATTAATGTTTTTATAGATCTGCAGTATTTGAAATTAAAGATGATTTGAATATTTTATCAAAAAATTTCGGGGAGTTGGGTAGTCCCTATTAATTTTTTGTAGCAATTAACTACATTTACCGTTTGAGTTATTAACTACATTCTTCATAGTGAAATCAAGGCCCTCAATCTGTAGACGAGTGTGCAGAAACCTATAAACAGAAGAAATTAGAAATAGCTCAGATAATATTGAAGGGAGAAGAACATAGAAATCCAATAGAAGTTGTTCTACGAAAACTTCGTAAAACGCTGGAATATTTTGCCTCGAATATTCCGTCTAGAATATCTAATATATAGTACAAAAAAAAAAAACTCAGAAAGGACAAAGCATGAACCCTTTTCAGCTAAAAAATTCATAGACAAATATTCCAAATGCTGTTCTGGCTAATATATAACGTAGAAATGCTTTATTTTGTTCTCATTTTCAAAACAAAATAGACTAGTCGACTCTCTGAAGAGAACTGCCGTAGCTATATATGTCTATCTGTATTGTGGCATGTGATGATCTCGATCAGAGTTTCTTACACTTACACACCGTTCTATGTAATTTAGGTTAGCACAAACACAGACTTACTTACACTCAGAATCATGTTAACATTTGTATAAGGTAGTTAAATCTTCATAATATTCCATTAATACAAAGTGTACTAAGCTTAAACTAATTGAACTGAACCTTAGCTTGGATATTGTTTGTGAATATCCACTACATTTCTATGAATTTTCCGCCAATACTTAAAAAAAACAAAAAAGTGCAATTGACTCAAAAGTAAGCTCTCATGAAAACTATAGTTTTCATTCTAGTTGTAATATCTATTTTACTGCTTGGGAAATATGTAAAGACTTATATTTTAAAAGTCATTAAACAAAAAAGTAAATAATTAACTCTTTTAGATATTATTATTTGCAAATCAATTTTTAAAAATAAAAATAATGATACTAATCAGTATTCTTTTATTCTAAGTTTTATTACATAAAAACCCAGAAAAAGATTAATCGCTAATCGCGTGTAACAATGATTATCGTTGAGAGTGCAAATAATTTTGACATGAAAAGAAGAATTTGAAAACATTGTCATTCTTTAAGCCTATCCACATCCAGGTTTATCAATGCGTACGACTAGTTCTGCTATACCTAACCACGTACCCAAATTATGAAACCTGTTGGATTAAGCCGATTTTCTAAAGTAATTGAGAAACTTCCGATCTTCCTTTTACTTTACCTATCTCTGAACAGACTTAAGTAAATGTTTGTTATAGTCATAAAAAAATTACTTACCTATGTAATAGGCGTCTTGGTAATGATAGTTACTAAAGTTCTTCAGCACTTTCCTTGAATTGTTTTGAAATGAAAAAGGAGAAGGAAGAAGAAAGAAAGAAAGGTGTGGTGCCGTGGTGTATTTCAGTGGCTTGTAAAACTCGTTAGAAAGTTGATAAATGAAACAATTAAAACGAAATAAGTAGTTGAAACAGAGAATGTATTATTAAATATACAAATACTAAATAAGTAAAAATATGCTGCCCGCCTCACCCACTCTCTTCATCTACAAATACTTTTCCCACTAAATTAGTTCGATCGTGCTTTTCTGGATATGATGAATTAAGCTTACTTAAGCTTATTTACTCCCCTTTCTGCCTTTTATTACTGGAACGGAGATTGAAATGCTAAACGCGTATGTAATCCTTGATATATTCACTTCTAATAGATGATTTTAGTGAATTTAGTGAATTTCAGTTTACTTTAAGAGAGCAACCCGGAAGGTAGGCGAAGAAAACCATAAAAATTTTGCTGTAAATTATTTGTGTTCACCTGAAACACAATATATATATATATATATATATATCGGTTACACCGATTATTTCATGAATTGTTTTCCAACACTAAGCTGAGCATTTGTAAGAATATTTAATTTATTTAATTAAATATGACATATTGTGAAATCTGTTCTTCCAGAGGATTACAGAGGATATTGAACATTTGCACCAGAAATGTTCTGATGGAGTTGCACAAGTCATTTGTGCATTGATTTGGTTTGACTGCTTTTTTTTATGCTAAATAGAGTCCATTTTTGTACTTCTCGAAAGATGTATATTGCATTTTGAAGATGTTTGAATATTATCTGAATACTATATATATATAAAGAAGTAATAATGTAATTTTAAATTTCTTAAAATTATTTCCAGATGATGTATTATAATGCTATTAAATAATTGTGTCTCCAAGGTCAAAAAGACCTTACTATGCTATTGTCATAAATCTAAATTTAGCACATGCCCATGGAAATGAGTCCAATGCGTGTTAGCCAAATTGAGTGGGCTCGGAGGGCAAAAGTTACAAATGATAACCACAGATTAAGAGATTATAAAGAATATTTATAAAATAATTAATATATAATTAAAAACTAAATAAATATCGGTAAATTCGTAATAATAACAAACTTTTTTCATACCAACTTGGCTTGCCTAGTATTTGCTTTTCTGGCTCAGCTGGATCAGATCGTGTATTAGGTCTCCTTGTTAGTTTACCACCTTAGTTTTAGAACAATAATTCTAAAATTAGTTATATCGGTATATTACGCAGATTTTAGCACAAGATTAAACACTGCGGCATAAACTGAATTGTCTTGATGGATATCAGTAATTATTGTAAACTATTCAGTTTGTTATGAAGTGCAATCCTTACAACAGAATTATTCAATATCATCAAGAAGCGTCAAGTTAGTTTACCTTGAAATCCCTGCAACATAGTGCATTTTCTGAATTTTCTAACATTTTGAACCATCAAAAACTTACTTCAAATCTAAGAAAATGCAGTTTTCTTGCAGTTTACAACTTAATTAATATGTTACCGTTTTCATTATTTATATACGGCATCACAATGGGCCAATAGGCCTAAGTGGATCCACTGGGGATCACCGGTATAACCTAACCTAACCTAATATGTTATCCATTGTGTCTCTGTCTATCTGATATTTATACTTGTATTCACGAAGTACCTTTTGGCATTTTTTTTTGTGTTATATTACATTTATATTTGCTTGTATTTTATAAGCAGTAACATATTTAGTAACCTTGTAACCCTGTAGTAATCGTTAATCATTTCAGTCCATTAATTATATATGAAGCATATTATACCTTCACACCAGTTCTTTTTCCCTGCATTTTTGCTCTCCGTGTATCCTACATATAACCTTATTCGTGACAATTCCTTATTCATATATACTTTCTTTAGTGAGAATGTTATCGTTTTATCTTTACATAGATCCAGACATGATTCTAATTATTCTAATAGCTTAACATAAGTAATCTTGAGGATGAATTAGAAAAATTGATTAAACACATTTCAGAATCTTAATATTAAATAATAAAATGTTGCTTTCTTGTATTTTTGTTTAAATATATTTAGTTTTTAAAAACAAGATACATTGTATCTTAAAATTAAAATTACAGAGATTTCATAATATTTGGTAATCATTTCTATTTTTTTTTTTTATTTTTTATAAATATAATAATTAATCATTAAAAATCATTAAATAATTCTAAATCTCCATGTCCCACTGCTATGGCTGGCTTCCACTCTGTCTCTGGATATTCATCAAAGTTGCTGGTATCGCCATCGAATGTGACGCTGGGAACGATTGGGGGCTGTGAATAAAAAAACATTAAATGAATTTATGTAAAACTAAGTAAACTATTCCAAATTCAGTTTAATATAGAAATCTCATTTATTATAAACAAGGCGGAATATGAATACATAACGAGGAGCATGTGGTCCACGTGATTGGCACATAGTTCCTATTAAAATAGCGATAAAAATGCTGTAAATATCTGCATGAGATATTTTAATAATTTCTTTCTTTTAAATTTTAACTAATCAAAAATGAACAGAAATCAAATTAGTGATTTTTTTCATATAAAACGTTTTATTGGCGTTGATTTATTGCAGTTGCAACAGCAGCGCTGCTGCCAATATCTCTGCACATAAATGAATATTGGCTGATCTTCCCATATCGCTTTATGGTTTATATTTACTAAATTTTTTGTTTATTTTATATAATTTTTATATATGAAAAAAAGTAATTTTTAATTTTAATGCGCTAAAATTTTTATTGCCGCGAAATGTCGGGGAGATGAAGAGCACGAAGTGGAGATGAAAGTACGGCAGAGCGTGGGATGACCACATTTAATATATTATAAACACAACTTATACTTGTACGCTAATATCTCAAAACAAAAATATTTGTAATAAAAATAATATTAAAATAATGTTTTTAAAAATGAAAATAATTTTTAAATTATTTTTCCATATTTTTGTTTTTGTTTTTGTTTTCGTTTTGATTTTCATCTTTCTTTTTTTTTATTTTAAACTCGGTGAAGCCAATTTATCAAGAGATTTGTGCACTTTGGGCTGATTTTCTAACAAAATCAATCAGTGGTGCTGACATCTAATCTTTTATGTCAAATTTAGTTTTTTTTAATTTATTGTATTTTTATTATATATTATTAAAAGAGAACTATCTTTGTTCGGTTGCTAGAAAGATTTGAAAAATGGGTTCAATGTGATATATCACATAGGAGAGATTCTTGTTTGTAATTTTTTTCACTACTTCAACTGGTTACTCTATTAAGGGGGTAATCGTTATTTTTTAAGATATCAATAATTCTAATTATTACAAAATCAAAGCAGTAAAAATAATTTTTCTTCAATCCAATGCTTTTGTCACATTTTACAATCACCATTAATGATTTTTAAGGCTTGTATAATATCTTAGACCTATAATGGGTAACAAAATCTATTAAAGCAGTGAAACAACAATACTACATCAAACACAAAATTATATTTGCACATTTAAGTTATGCATCGCCAGTTACATTTAATTTTAAGCTGAAATTTGCACAGAAGTTGTTTGCGTAAATTTTTATTGCTTTTCGATAGGCATTGCTTCGCACATTGCATATTGTAGCATTGTCTACCTACACATATTGTGAATAATTTTTTATATGCTTACTAATATTAATGCGAATAGTAAATGGTATTAAAAACACAAATATATTTGTTCAAATTAATTATACTCCGGAAATGAACCTAACGATATCAGCAACTTGACGTTCCAAAATGTCTTGAATTGCCTTTACACTTAAAGCCCTCAATTTGCAATTTGGAACTAGTGCCAGATTTGATCAATTTATAATATTCGATAACTATTGTTCATACCCAAAAACAATAGTTAATGTATAATAACTTAATGTAAAAGTCGATATATTATTGATATATACCGATTCTATAGCTTTATAGTTATATATATTACCAAGTAAACACGTAGTGGTGGATATAACCAATCAACAGACAAATGTTGAGATTTCGAGATAAAATAACCACAAAAACGTTTAAAAATCCTATTCAGTGTTTTCTAATAATCCTATTTGAGTTGAAAACTCTAATTATCTCTAAGATTATACGGTGTGTTCCCAGCACAGTAGGACCAACTAAATGACTAGTACCAATTATATGTTTACCTTAAGTTTCTTATTGTAGACGTCACTCCAATTTAAGTGTTTGAACCATCGGTGCCCCTTTACGTCATCAGCGCCGTTCTAGAAAAATTAAATTTAAATAAATAGAATTTATTGCAAAATATTGAAAGTTTTGTGTTTGTAAACGTAATTAAATTTAATTTAAAAATAAAATAACAACAACTGGTAACGCCTTCTAATGCGATTATTTAAATACAAATTAATTTTTTTTATAAAATTAATTTGAATAATTCGACAAAGTATCTTTTTTTATAATATTTTTATATTTTTTCTCTATGAACCTTATTAAATGAAAAATATTTTTTTTTTTTGCAAATTTGGCAAAAAAAATCTGAACAAAAGTGCAAATTGGCAACAGACAGCAAAACAATTTAAAAAAAATAAAAAAAATAATTGTACGAAATTATGTACAATAATTATAAAAATAAAATTATAGAATATAATTTGAGTAATTATTTTAGAAAATCAAAAATTATTTTTAAATTTTAAATCGTCGTCGGTGGGATGTAATTAAAGTAAAATTATTCACTTACACATCCCCACATTCTAAGCAGAATCATGAATTCTGCTTAGAAATTAAAAATGAAATCATACAAATTATTTGTGATTTATCTTTAGTTTGAAGTCAAGATGTATTAAATAAAATATACAAATTAAAGAAAAAGTTTAATAAAATTATTTTAAATATAAATATGTGCACACACTTTTGATTAAATCACCTCATATTTATTGTGAACAAAGAAAACGTTCTTAGTTTATTATTAATGGATTAATATTAGCATAAGAATTGCCAGATATTCATTTCAGGGAAGAAAATGTAGGTTGAAAACCGAGTAATTGGTAATATTCTAAATTTTCTTCAATAGATCACTTTATCCAGATCAAGATATCATGACATCCTGACACCGCATTCAGTCTGTCAGGATTTATTATATTCATATATGCAACAGTTGCTTACGGAAATGAAGCTTTAGTACTTCCAGCCCCCTGCCCCTCTCTGGGAATTATATGTATTGAAAGATATTATAAATTTCTATGTTATATACAGATTTATATATATGAAAATAAATTTTTCTTGAATATTTTATATATCTCTAAATACGTATACATATTTTAAACTTTTATTGAAAGAGTGATCGCAATGACAAAAAAAATTCAATTCACTTCGTAATTAGTACCTACTTTAAGCGTCTATATTTAAATTAATAATAAACGAATTCACCATAACATATATTCATTAAATAAGTAATAAATAAAACGATCTTTTCAAATCGTTTGTAATGATTTGAAAATTATATAAAAATTTTCCAAAGCAACAATTTAAAATTTTGGATCAGACATATACATTTTTTACTCGTGTGCCATACATCTCGATCTATTTTAAGGATGTGCCCATATTGACATCAGATAAGATCTAGAATACTTTTTATTATTGCCCATTACAGTTTAATTCTCTACTTTAGAAAAGAATAGAATTAAACATATACCTTCTGCATCCGGATTTTGTTGTTTGTTAGATACTCCTTAAGTAATAGACCTTTTTCAAAAAATTTTTTTTTTGTTATGTTGGTACACCCTTTCTTGACATATGGTACAAATTTGAACGCCATCTGTCAATTAGTTTGTTTACAGCAGCTGTTATAAATAAATGTGTAATGTTTAACAAACTACACCAGTATAAAGAAAGATATAAAGAAGTCACAAAAAAAGTCAAGTTGGTCACATATTTCTTATACTTCGGTATCTGATGATCCTCCACGTACTACACTAACATGGAATTCGTAGCATTTTTTCTTTTAAAATTTTATTAAAAAACCAAAAAAAAATAATTAAAATAGTAAATGTCGTTGTTTTCCTTACTCTATTTTTTTATAGATATAAACCCAGTACTTCAATTTCTTCAAAGAAATGCAATTGATTCACTATTGTACTAAGTACGACTGGTCCGTGGAGTTTTCATTTACTTTTTATTCAGGAGTAACTATAGCACCATGTGATGGTTTATATTTCGTTTAAAATGGTTATATCGTGCATAGTTCTAGTGCAGAAACATTTCAAAAGTTTTGATGATAATAAGAATACTCTTCAGATCAAATGGAACCTAGATTCATGTAGGGCTAACACAAAGTATATATTAATTTCTAAAAATTTTTAATCCAATTATTTTATTTTTTTTTCACTGTGCCAATGAATTGCGTGAAACTTAACATTCAATTAAATTTAAAGTAAGCAGTTTTCGTTACATCTGATCCATCTTATATATCATATATTGCTTTTGATTAATGAATAACTATGATGATTTGATTGTAACCTGCTTGTTCATTTGTCACATAAAATGTGCAATGACACTAAGAGTTGTAGAACTGATGAAAGTACACCTTTCTTAATGCAAAGTGACTAGTAAATGGAATGGATTAAAAACGAAAGAAACACTGCAAGTCTATTAGAAATTTAGTCATAAAACTGAAATCTTTCACTTACTGGAGAATTAAGTTGTACTTTATGAGCACTATTACTTTTGATTTTAAACGTGTGATAAATCACTTAACTTTTCATGCCAACTAATTTTTTTCGAATCTCAGTCTTTCTTATGACTTCCAATATGAATTTCATGTAAAATCGATATTAAATTAATTTATGTATCTTTCTCATCAAAAATCTATCAAAATATCAAACAATAATAGAAAAATACAATTTTAAGATGTATGGCAATTATTTTAGTTCGAATTCAAGTTTCTTTCGCAACGTTAGAAATAATAAAATAAATCATGTATTACATATGTTATAAGACATGTTTATGAATATTTATACAGCCAACTTACCTTCATATTTCCTAATCTTTTGGTTCTGTCATTAGTCAATAATTTCTTAACTAAATCTTTTGCAATCGGGTCCATGTGACGCGGCCATTCTGTCTTGCCACTAAGAATTTTTTCATAAATTCCGAATGGGTTTTCATCGTAGAATGGTGGGTAGCCTACAAGCATTTCATATGTGAGCACACCTGCAACGGAATTCAAATGATTTATTTGCTGCTTCACACTTGTATACACAATATACACAATATGGACAATGTACTAGTAGACACGCAAAGACTACAAACGAAAAACTTATTTAGATATGTACACACCTAACGCCCACCAGTCCACAGCTTTGTTGTGCCCTTTGGACAAAATGATTTCAGGTGCTAAATATTCAGGCGTACCGCAAAGTGTCCAAGTTCGATCCCGCAGTTTTTTTGCGAAACCAAAATCTGTGATTTTCAGATGTCCATCGCGGTTGATAAGCAAATTTTCAGGTTTCAGATCGCGGTAAACTATCTGTAAGGAGTGCAAGTATTGCAGAGCTGAAACTATTTCAGCTGCATAAAAATTGGCTGCAAACAGAATAATATTCATTATTATAAATGGTTAATTAAAGAATGACTAATTTCTATAATGAGATTGACTTCATTCCACTTACATGTTTTACTACTAAATCTGCCAGCGTTTCTTAAATAAGTAAACAATTCACCACCGCACACATACTCGAATATCATGTAAAGGCAACTGTCGTCTTTAGTCGACCACTCCCTGAAGAAAAGAATTAAATTTAAATTAAATTTATTTATGCCAATTAATGCAACTTCGAACGGAACATTCACTCAAAATCTTTTGTATAAAATGTTTTCATAGAATTACAATTTCAAGAGATTCAAAAGATTACCAAGAGATTGCTCTAGAATATGGACTAAAAACTCGAGTAGTCATTATGAAGTGTTTTTTTACATAAAGAAGAAAACTTTCGATTATATATATACGTAATAGAAAAAGGAAAAGTATGTTACTATGGACTGAAAAATAAAAAATGTATATTTTTTACCTATAGAAAACTATAATTAGAGTTGCTTAAAATATATATATAGATTAGTTGCACATTAGTCCTCACTACCGCAGTTTATTCTTTTTTCCAAAAAAATAATGACGTCCTAATGATGACTTTAATGAATTAGTGACTTCACTTGCTTCTTAATAAAGAAGTCCACACAAATAAAAATGTGCTTTTTAAAATTTTTAGGCAATCCATAATTTAGTTGATTGATTTCCGAGGCTAGTAATAATAGAGTTAAAAAAGGATTAAACAAAATTGCACATTTTGTGTAAAAATATATATTCATTGAAAAATTGACTATATCCTTTATTCACAATAATCCAAAAAGATTAATATTAAAAAGGGACCAGGTACCTACCAGGTATCAGATACGAAGGATTTAATGAATGACCCTTGCAAAATATTCGGTGGGCTATATTTGTATATATGTATATTATTATTACTGCATTACCTTTGTTGATTAAGGTAATAAATTATTATAAGTAACTCAAATTATCTGAAAAATGAACCTATGAAGTGCATTTTTGGATACGGCCATAGTAGAGACCCTAATTTAAACCCTATTTACTTAAAAGCAAAAAAAATATTTTGGCTAATTTGACTATACATTTCTACAATGTCACAAATAAATAAATTCTAATTTCGAACTTTTATTATCTTAAAAGTATATTAATTGTGGGATCCGACATGAGACTATTGAATAAATTAAAGTTGTTCACATTTCTTGCCCGATCAGAAACTTGAGTCTATTTAAGTGAGTACTTTCTGTAAACTAGCAAGTCTCCTGAGCGTCTGGACACCCACGTCACTGTTGACAATTATAAGTTCGAAATTGTGAAAGACTTTGTTTATTTAGGAACCAGCGTAAATATCAAAAATGATGTCAGACTAGAGATTCAAGGAAGAATCACTCTTGCCAACAGATGTCACTACGGGTTAAGTAGGCAGAGAAATAAATCCCGCTCTCGACAAACAGAAATTCTGCTCTACAAGTCTCTTATCATGGCTGTCCTGCTGTATCGTTCAGAAGTTTGGAAAATTAATAAGAGTGATGAGAAGACGTTAGGAGCATTCGAGAGAAAAATTTTCAGGAAGATCTATGATCCATTACGCGTTGGCGACGAGTATCGAATTAGATGGAACGACTAGCTGTACGACCTAAACTGCGACATTGACGTAGTTGCTTCAGCTAGAAAATAAATACCTTTCAGTACCCGCATGTGAAAAATGCGATAAAGGACATGCGCCTCATTAGTGGAAGGTGAACAACGATTTGGGGGCGCTCGGTACTACCAACTGGCGAGAACAACCCATTGATCGGGGTAGCAAGCTACTTGACGTGGCCAAGTACGACTCACGTCTGTAATGACCAACTAATAACAACAACAGAACATCACGATGATGTTATGTTAAATCAAAGGTTATCAATATCAAGTTATATGTTACAGGCAACTCTGATCTAAAGATACCTGTTAGAGCAATGAAAGATATAGTAATGATTCATCAGTAATGCAGGAAATAATCATTATCTTGAATATTCCTTGCTACATAACCTTATTAGCAATTTTAAAAATATCTCAAAAAACCTAAAAAAAAATTAATTAATGTATAGATGGAATATGGGACGCAATAGATCCGATAGTCGTAGTGTCACATCCCCTAACAATAATAATAGATGAAATATTGTGAATTAAAGGTGTTATATTAATAGGTATGTTTAAAAATTTCTTTAAAATTCCTTTCCAAAATTGTTTATTTTAAAATTTCAATTTCTTTTAATTGAGAAACAATAAATAATTTAAGTGGGACATTCGCAATAATAAAATATATGGGAATTAAATGTTTCTTCAATTCAGATATTTTAAAATGAAACTTTTTATTGTTACAAGGGTACTTATATGCTCTTTATGCGGAAGACCACTTAAAATTTATTTATCTCTAAATTATTTTTGAAACAAAGAAAGTAAATAAATATATTTTCAGATACAAAATTCGAATCAATTAAGTATCGAAATAAAATTCCGTTAGTCAACGGTGCAACATTTTGACCTGTTTTTAAATTAAACATTGGAGTCGAGTGATCTCAATTGATTTCTTTCCGGAGTTGCGGTCTGCTGCAATGTTTTGGGAAAGGCAATAATTACGCGTATCATTTTAAAAATAATTAAAAAATTATTACGTTAGTGACCTGCAACTGCAGTGGGGTTACACTGACGTCGCATTAAATTGGATTACGATAGACTCGTACTGTGAGCTCCAATAAGTACATACAAAATGCATTCCAATAAGAAAAAAATAATAAAAAATGACTTATTTATATAAACAATTACTTACAAACTTATAACGAACGGATGTCGGATCTCGCGCAAAATGTTCCGTTCATTCTTAACGTGCTCGATTTGTTTCAAGCGTATCACATCAGTCATTGCGAGCGTTTTCATGGCACAATATTTTTCTGTAACTCGATCTCGGCACAAACAGACACGCCCAAAAGTGCCGGTTCCTATAAAATAAAACAAAAGTTAAAAAAAGTTATTAAAACGTGTACGTAAATGCCAAAATTCAAATAAACAAATGCAATACATAATTCAAACTGTCTGGTTCTGGTTTGAGATACATTTCATTAGACTATCGACTATACATACAACCGAGAACCAAAAAAAAAAATTAAATTTAATTTTACATAATAATTATTAGAATTGGACTGCACTTTGAGAGTTGGACTGCGCTTTGTGCCAATGGATACTTTATTGCCTATCCACCACAGCCAAATGTGAGGCATTTACAAACAGCAAATCCCAAATCTGAATTTGATTCTGAATCTGAATATGAATCTAAATATGAAAAGTAAAAAAGTAAAAAATAAATACAAATTTGCCCCAGAAACAGAAAATTGAAAAATTAGTTTCACTTTTGAACACGTTTTCGCTTTTGTATCTGCACAGAATGCAATTAAAGAATTTTCTCAACCTTGAAATTTTAATTGGTTCAATCAAAGCGCCCATAAGAGATCGACATATCGCACAGAGCAACTCATTGGAAAATCATAACGAAATCGAATCAAAATGTGCGGAGCGGGCGCCATTCATAGCCACTAAAAATGGTAAATGGGCCCGAGATTCTTGGCCAAATTTATTTCACATAAATTTGGACGATAAATTTGAGACTTCGCCGCATTGAATGAAATGTGAGAAATGTTAAAAGGTTCGTTGAACTATTATTTATTAATGTTAGTACAACATACTAATACACTATATATAAACTATAAGCCATTTATAATACTTCACACTAATTAAGGCTACTTGACAAATCTGAGTCGCGCAGTTTTTCGAAGAACAGTCAGAAATCTTGGAAATCAGGAACATTTATTTCAATTCAACGGAAGTCTTTACTATTTCTGAATGGCCATAGTTAATTAATCACATTGACGTACAACTTGACCCGTTTCTGTAAAACGAATTAAAAAAATATTTATTAAATTTTAAATTCTACAAATGACTTTTGGCAACGAAAATACTAAAATTTTGCAAAGTCAAGTAGGAACTCATGGATCCGCATACGAAATATTAAATGCAAAATGTAATAATAATTTTAGTGCTTTTAATATTTTAATTTCACTATAAATAAAGTTAATACATATCTAAAATTTGTCTAGCTCAGAGATTCTTAGAAAACACAATCAATTAATGAAATAACTGACGTGCACTTCTAATATTAAAAGCATTGAATTATTTTTCATTTTATATTCAAAGGTCATGAAGACGAAGATAGACAGACTATTTTGAAAAACTGACATGATTAGAGGATCACTACTCAGCCGTAGAATGGTAATGACTTCAAATCAATATTGACGACGACTCAGCGCTGAAGACTCATTTGAAGATTGGTTCGTGGCAATAATTTAGGGAATTCAGCAATAAAATTCAACTTTCATCTCGACAAGCTGATCAATAACATAACATTTCTTCCCTAATACGGAAGAAATGTATTTTTTATATTTCCAATACTGAAGAAGAGCAGAGAGAGAGAAATCGTAATGTGGTTCATCCTCAATGCTACAGAAATGTATTTAATATATTTCCAATATTGAAGAATACATTTTTTCCCAATACGGAAGAAATGTATTTTTTATATTTCCAATACTGAAGAAGAGTAGAGAGAGAGAGAACATAATGTGGTTCATTACGTATACTGAAGAAATGTATTTAATATATTTCCAATATTGAAGAATATATTTTTTCCGAATACGGAAGAAATGTATTTTTTATATTTCCAATACTGAAGAAGAGTGGAGAGAGAAAGAACATAATGTGGTTCATCCCGAATACTGAAGAAATATATTTAATATATTTCCAATATTGAAGAACAGTAGAGAGAGAGAGAGAGAGAGAGAGTAAACGCAATTATCGAAGAAGCCAGGAGCTGTAGAAAGAGCTAATTAGGAAATAATTTAAATATACTAAATGTAGTGAAAGTTATAAGTAAAAAATTATAATTAAAGTCAGATATTATGGTATATTAGGATGAAGGTACTTATATGTTAGCATAACTATATATTAATATGTAACAAAAATATTATATGAATTATATGAAAAAAACTTTTTCTAAATATATTACAATATATAATATTGTATAATGGTATATATAATATATATATTACAACATATATGTAGTATTATATATATTAATTTAAAATTGCCTTTACTTACATTGGCTTGAAGCATATGAAATATAAGAATCAATAATAGCTCGATGATTATCAAAAATTATGATCTGCCTTACAATGAGGAATCCAAAGTAAATAAGACTTTTTTAAAACTGGTATCAATAGTGAGATCATATATTCGTCATCGGAGAATAGTGGAAACAATATTGTAACCGAAGTAATAATCAAAATATCGGTACAAATGTATTAAATGTCTATTACGTTCATAAAACGCTTTCTTTTTATCCTCAAGAACATTTCTCTATTCTCCATCACTTGTTTTATCAGTCAATTAAAGCACAACAAACCGTGCATACTATTTTCTTTATCCCGAATATTCGAATAAAGTGCACTAAATTGTAGAATTTGAGATGCTTAATTCCATATTTATGCATTGATTACAGATCATAGATTTCTGTCTCATAATTTATATTCTCACGAGAGCTATTGAAAGTTAAATGCTAGTATATCAGTCACAAGCCCTGCAACAGGATGAACAATTATATCATTGAACTTGGTTCATCAATTTAACTGTTAAAATATAATCTTTATTTTATTATTGTTTTATAAATTGCCTCTTTGAAGTGAAAGGGATTCTGCCGATCAATTAATGCAATGCACCAACAAATCAACACTTTGTTCGATAGTGCATATATCATGAAATTTTGATGTCCCACCATTAAAAAGTTTACTTTACCTACACATGTAATTGCTAACAGATGGAACTACTACTCGGAACGTAGTCAGTAAAGCTCTTGAGGGGTTAAAGACCCTTTCGAATCAAACCGGTAAGTTATATGAAGACAATTACTTCGATGATAAAATATTGTTGCCTGCAGTAAAATCCAAGAATAGTAGATCTTTCACAGCATGAAAGAAGGATCGATATATCTACTGAGATTTTTAAATTGTTAAAGTATAGGGATGCTTCAAATTTTTTGTTGTTAAAATATCTTCTTACGATTTTAGGTATTCTATCAATCGATTAAACTATGAAATCGACTTGCTATGAAAAAAAAAAAACTTTACTAGAAAATGAAAATGCCATTAATAGATTAAGTGGGATTGTTATAATTTTGATTCAGTAAAATATTGCAATTAATCCAGATGAAGTGATCGATCTTTTATTAAAGAAATTTAAGAGATCACTTTTTTAGGAGGAACATTTTTTTAGTTTCTAACTAGAACTAACTAGAAAAAGTAAATCTATGAAGACATTTCCTTACATTTGTTTAGGACATCAAAATTTTTGGGTTGGAAAATATTATGTATACGTATATACGAGTATTGGTGTAAAAATTGTTCAATTTATATAATTAAGCATATACATTATAGATCTGTCAGAAAATTAATATACTCAATTATTTTTAATATATCAAACTTTTTTCATATTTTATTGCTAAAACTTAGTTTGAAAATAATTGTTATATGATCCTATCAGATTTTATATGAAAAATATATTCATTAGAATAAAATAGGAATAATTGATGATCGTATATGTCAGAACAAAATACATAAACCGTAATTAATGAAATGAACTTGGAGTGTCACATATACAATATGTGCTATAATCAATTTATAATATTCATAATTTGGATTAAAAAATATTTTTATTTTTGTGCTTAAAACACTAAGATTTGAAAAACTTGTATATTTTCTTTATTAATAATCTTTTAAATTAATTAAATTCAAATCATTTTTCAAGCTAATCCAATAAAAGTGATTTATTCGCTTAGGAAATGCACAAATTCGAGAATTCATGTACATAAAATAGTGTGAAAATCTATTAAAATTCTGCACGATATGTAGTATTATTATATATAATATAGTATATAAACATATGTAGTATATATGTAAATAATTAAAAATTTCTTCGTGTTAATAATTTGCGTTTTCTGATTTTAGTTGTTATATATGTATAATTAAAAATATTAGTTAATAATTAATTAACTTTAGTTTTTAATATTCAAAACACACTTCAATGTTTTATTTTATGAAAATGTAATTAATTTTAAATTGCATTATTTTTGCTATAGATAATTACACGATATTACAAAATAAAGTGGAGCAATTATTAGGAAAATAAATTATTTCGAAAATTATAATTTGAATATTGTGTAAATTTATATAAATTTTTATTTCGAAATTGTGTACTCTTAAATTTATACGAACCCTATTAATTCTAAAAATAAGAATATAAAAAATTGGATCAGGACTTTCTTTTTTTCGGAATTTAAATTAGAAATATTTTACCCCCCTCATCTTCAAAGTGCTTAACCCAAAACTGTTAAACATTGAACAGGTTTGAGTATTGGCAAGTATTCAAATTTAATGGTCTTTAAAAATATTTTTAATAGTTTTTATAATAATGAATTGCATTTATCTATATGTGTGGTTCATACATTTCTTCTAATTTTTACATGTCAAGTATATTCATTAGTGAAACAACAACAATAAATTGATAAACTACAGCTTTGGACATTCATGTCTAAAATTCTCTAAATCCACTTTTCTGATTTCGCAGGGTCCAAGTTCAACCCTTTGTACTTGGCGTCAATGAATTATATATAAAGATTTATGTACAAAAATAATTTCTAAAGTGCAGTGATAATAGATATTTGGCAATAATTTACACAGATGTATGATAATTCAGAATTATCGGAATCCAATCCAATCCAGTATCCTATCCTGACAATGGGGTTCTGGTAGACTTATATGAGCAATTTTTTTGAATATAGTTCCTAGAGATATTGTGGTTTAAAGCTGTTAATGTTTTACATTGATAACAATAACAAAAA